GTCCTTCTGTCAAGATCTGTTTAGCCCTGGCTGGTGTAGCTCAGTGGATTGAGTGCGGGCCTGCAAACCAAGGGATCGAGGTTCAATTCCCAGTCGGGGTGCATGCCTGGGCTGCGGGCCAGTTCCCCCCGTGAGGGGCCTGCAAGAAGCAGCCATGCATTGATGTTTCTCTCCTTCCCTTCTCCTCTAGAGATGAATAAATAAAATATTTTTTTAAAAAAGAAACCTGTTTAACTCCCATTACCTATCTCTCCCCAAATGTATTTGACTGCAATCCCAGCTCTCTTACTTCTCAGAGAGACCCTGTTAGCCACCTGTGAAACACACTCCAAAATCCTGGAGAAAGAGGCTAGGTGAGAACCTGACTGCCAGCTGATAAGTGGTCAATATTGCTTAGGAAACAAACAAACAAAAAATTGCGGATGGCTATCTGTGTGTGTACACACACACACATACATAATGTATATAAACACTTTTGTTTCCAGAAATGGGGAATCTATACATATTTAGTGTCTTTGTCTTAATTTTAAACAGAGTCAGGATCACCAGAGTTTTGAGGACAGCTCTAGGTGGAGACCAAAATAAACCAAAAAAAAAAATTAAGTCAGGCAAAACAAAGACCATGCAAGGAGTAGGAAAAAATGTAAAAACAAAACCTATAATTAAAACACATCCATGAAGTGAATACAGGATGCTATTTAAAAAAGAAACACTCCGAAATCAGGAAAGGGCATTTAGACATTAAAAGTGTGAGAGCAGAAATGAAAGTTCAACGGAAGGGTTGGAGAATCAAGTTGAGAAAATTTATCAAGAAATAGAACAGTGCCCTGGCTGGTGTAGCTCAGTAGACTGAGCATGGGCCTGCAAACCAGAGGATTGTGGTTAGATTCCAAGTCAGGGCACATGCCTGGGTTGCAGGCTAGTTCCCAGTGGGGGACACACTAGAGGCAGCCATACATTGATGTTTCTCCTCCTCTCCCCTTCCCTCTAAAGATAAATAAATAAAAATCTTTAACTATATATATATATATGAAATAGAACAGCAAAAACAGACAAAGCAATAGAAAATAGGAGAGGAAAGATGACAGAAGAGCAGTCTAGAAGACCCATAAGCTATCAGCATTTCTGGGAAAAAAAGGACAAAAAGTGAAATAATCAAAAAGAAGACAATTTCCTGGAACTGCAGGATGTGAGTGTCCAGTTTGTGCCCACATACCAGTGCTCAGCAGGAGGAGCAGCAAAACCCCACATCGAGGCACATCCTCAAGGTCACATATCAGGACACTAAGTCTTCAGAGAATGGCAGTGGTGGGGGAGGGGGGCAGTCAAAAATAATAACAGCCCTGGCTGGTGTAGCTCAGTGGATTGAGCGCTGGCCTGCGAACCAAAGGTTCGTGATTTGATTCCCAGTCAGCACACAGGCCTGGGTTGCAGGCCAGTTCCCAGCAGGGGGCGCACGAGAGTCAGCCATACATTGATATTTCTCTCCTTTCCTTCTCCTCTAAAGATAAATAAAATCTTAAAAAAAAATAAACAGCACCTCAAAAAGACAGGGTCGCCTCCAAAGGAGAGGGAAACAATACCATTGATCAGCCTTCCCGACAGTAGCACCAGGAGTGAGAAAAAGGAGAAGCGGCCCAAAGATCCAAGTGAGAGGACTTTCCTATGATGACTCTTCTCAGCCCAAGTCTGAGAGTAAAATAAAAACATGTGCACACATGGTCCCCAGGATTTTATTTTTTATTTACACCGCCCCTCCCCCCGCCTCAGGAAACTAGTGGAGAATGTACTGCATTAAAATGAAAGAGGACCAGGCGGGAGGCAGGAAGCAGAGGTGAAGGGCAGGAGATGAAGGCACCCCCAGGACAGTGAGGAGGGGAGAGGAGCTTCCCCCAAACCCACGGCTCAATGGCTCAGAGGCAGTTCTATCGTTCTGAGTTGTTTCAGAGAATTTCAGAAAGAAGGCACCAAAAGAGGGGAGGAACGGGGCTGAAAACACCGCTATAAACCAGAGAGTTGCGGCAAGGGTCTGTTAATGGATCGAGAGAAATCTAAGCAAATAAAAACAGAGACAATTTTATTTGTCATTTTTTAAATTGAGTCTTTAGAGAGATAAAACATTGAATTATAGTTCCACTTATCTCTGCATTCATCAGTTGTTTCTTGCTTGGGCTCTGAGCAGGGAATTAAACCTGTGATCTTGGCGTAGCGGGAAGATGCTCTAACCAACGGACCTACACAGCCAGGGACAAAATGGAGGCAATTTTTAACTCCAATAAAAAAAAGGGGGCAAAAATAGAACTATAGAAAACACCTAATATACCCCAAATTATCATTTAACTATATTGAAAGAATGGGAGCAAGAAAAATCAGATTTTTGATGGGGACACAAAATAGCCAGAGCATTCTTTGCCAGACTGAAAAATAAGTAGTGACTACCAAAAATTGAAGGAAAAAAATCAACAAAAACAGCATGATAAACTTATTGATAGTGGAATTTGGAATTATGTTTTTTAAAGATTTTATATAGAATCTTATTTAAAATATTTAGTAAAATTAAATGGAAAGTTTATAAAATTATTTAAATTTTATTTAAAATATTAATATTTATTTATTTTTAGAGAGGGGAAGGGAGGGAGAAAGAGCAGGAGAGAAACATCAGTGTGTAGTTCTCTCTGGTATGTCCCTGCTGGGGGCCTGGCCCACAACCCAGGCACATGCCCTGACTGGGAATCGAACCAGCGACCTTTAGTTTCCCAGGCTGGTGCTCAATCCACTGAACCACACCAGCCAGGGCTAGGATTACATCTTTAAAATTATAGACCTTGTGCAACTTTTTAAACAATGCACATGTATTTATTTGACTTATTAAAATTTAAAATGATTCGGTTAATCATAAGAAAAGTAGAAATGCAATGAGCATCTTCCAGATTGATAGAGGAAGTGTGCAAATCAAAATAAATTTCAATGCAGTGGAATGCAGATATGATAGATACCTGCATTGGTGAGTTGGTGGATGAATAGGGCGGATTTAGCTTAACACCCATTCCAGCATTCTCCTGTGCCTTACCGTATTTCAGAAGCTGAAGGACTACAATCACATTTCCTAGATGTTATTGCAGTAGGATTCTGGATGCAATTTTGGCTCCTCAGTCACATTTCCTCTCTGAATTGATTTGTAAGGTGTAAGTGTGAGGGAGAGCCTGTGATGGCAGTGGAGACCGTTAGGGAGTTGTCTGGATTTTTCTGCAGCGGCTTCTTATAACAGCAGCTGTATGGTTCAGGAGCTGGGAAGTTTAGCGACAGCTTTCCAATTCGACAGGTGGCTTCCAGATTTTAGAAGAGGCATTGGCTCCTTTGGTGGCCTGGTCTTACCAGCATGGCTCTCAAAGTCATCCCTGAACAGTCAGCTTGGAGTCGCTTTTCTTTAGTGCCCCCTCCCCTGCCAGACCTTATTGAAAACAATCCTTTTGTACTTAAGCGACAAAGAATGAATTCTGTTCTCTGCAACTGAACCCAGAAAATATAACAGGAAATCAAAAAATAAAATATACAGCCCTGGCTGGTGTGGCTCAGTGGATGGAGTGCCCACCTGGAACCAAAATGTCTGGGATTTCACTTCCAGTCGGGCACATGCTGGTTGCTGGTCAGGTTTCCCCACTTGGGGGCGTGCGAGAGACAACCGATCCGTGTTTTTGTCACACATCCATCCCTGTTTCCCTTTTTCCCTTCCCTTCTCTCTAAAAATAAAATCTTTAAAAAATGTATTAAAAATGTGGTAAAGAGCACAAAATGAAAGAAAAAATCAATTATCCTAAAACAAGCTCAACTCTAGCTAGTAGAGATACATTGTCAAATTAAATTCTAAAAAATCCAGCTAGTTGATGTGTAAGAGACATGAAAAACATAATGAAATGCTACACAGTAGCTAAACAAATGAGTCAACCCAAATGAATCTAAAAAAAAAAAAGGTAAATGAAAAAAGTTGCAAAAGAATATTCAGCATGTCATTTTTGTAAGATTTAAAAACAGAATTTGGTATTCCATTTGTGGTGGGTAGGTCCATACACCACATGTCATAAAAATATAAAAAACATGAAGAGGTATGGAACGAAATGAACCAACTTGAGCACAGTGAGTATCTCTAGGGAGGAAGGAGAATAACAATGGTGGGGCTTTAGTTGTGTCTAATTTTGTATTTATTTACTAAATAGCAAGTAAGTGAAGCAAAATGTTTTGGTATGTTTCATCTTGATGGTGGAGGGCATGGAGTGTTAATATTATTTTCTGCACTCTTTTGCATATCTCTGATTTATGAAACACAGTCACTTTCACTGCTGTCCTGGACACCTTGATGCACGCCAGCATTTATATTGAGTGGCTTCTGAACGGCAAAAGAAGAGGTTGAGGTGGACAGGCTGGTTGTAAAAGGTGAGGATGACATCCAGCTGGAGCAGAGGCCAGCAGCCACAGGGAGACTTGGGAAGAACCTGGAAAAGGAGCCCGGGTTGAGGAGAGCGAAGGGGTTGCACCAGGGAGGGAATGGTGTCTCAACTGCGTGCAAATCAGGAGATGATTTTAAAAAGATCCAGATTGAGTAACTTTGTCTCGGGTGGGCCTGAGACAGCGAAACGAATCGAAGGAGAGAGAGTAATGGGAGCTGGAGGGTCTCAGTGTGGGAACTAAGCGAGAGAATTGCTCAAACCGAAGCCCCCTAATTCCACCCCCCCATGTTAAAACTGTTCTAAAATTATAACGTAAATCCAGAAGTCTAGCTGTCCCCAAAGTGCGGCGTTTCCGTGAAGTAGTCGACTAGCTTCTCCCACGTGTAGGATCCGCTTGCTGTGCTGATGGGGGTTTCCTCTCCGTCTGCGCGCTGCGGGGTAGGGAGCCCGGGGAAGCCCTGAGATCTGGAACCGTAGTGGGGGCGGGGTCAGCGGGCGGGGTCTAGCGGGAGGCACAGGGGCGGGGCCTGGCGGCGGGGCGGGGGAAGGGGCGGGGCCAGCGCGTAGAAGAGACTCGCGCGCTCCCGGCTGCTCACTGGCTTTGCGGCCGCGGCGGCTCCTCTGTGGGGTCGAGCCGGAGAAAGGGTCTCGGGCGGCTGCCTGGGCGGCCTGCGAACCGACGGACCGAAGGGTGGGCTGAGCGGCGGGCCCCGCGCCCGCTGTCTCCCCTCCGCCAGCGCCCGGCGGCGCTATGGCCTCTTCCCCGGGCTCGGGCAGCGCCAACCCGCGGAAGTTCAGTGAGAAGATCGCGCTGCACACGCAACGGCAGGCCGAGGAGACGCGGGCCTTCGAGCAGCTCATGACCGACCTCACCCTGTCGCGGGTGAGGGCCCGGGCCGGTGCGGGTGGGGGCGGCCACGGGCGCGGACGGCCCCGCGCGTGGGGTGAGAGGTCGCGGGCCCCAAGCGGCGGCCGGGCTGAGGCGGGGCGGCGCCCGGCAGGGGGGCCGGCCGCCCGGCCGCGGCCTCAGCGCTCTCCCGCCTGTGGCCACCGGCGCGCCGCGGCGGTGGGACATCGCGGGGCCGGGCGTGCGGGGAGATGGGTGGGAGCCGCGCGGGCGAGGCAGGCGGCGGGCGAGGGCGGCCTGAGGGGGCGCGCGACCCGGAGCCCGGGAGGAAATCACCCGCAGCCCGGCGGCGCGCCGTGCGTCTCCTCCGGGCTCCGAGCGTCCACCGCCGCGAGCCCTTCGGGACCTCGGGGCGTCGGGGCCGCGGGCCCGAGAGTCCCGCCCGCCCTGGAGGGGGAGCGCTCGCGGCCGGCCCGGGCCGCCGGGGTCTGGGTACCGCCTCCCCGACTTTTCTCTCCTCTGAGGTGCCCTGATCGGCCCGCTTTTCCTGTGCTCTGCCCCCTGTATTGCGCGAGAAGCGGCAAGGTGCGTAGTAGCGTCGCCCGTGCCTGAGGGGCGTCCGGGGCAGGAGTGAGCGAGCGGGGCCGCCGTGCGGCGGGGCCGCGGAGGATGCAGAGCCCGCGGCCGTGCCGGCGCGGGGCTGTGGGGCGGGCCTCCCCGGAGGAGCCCGATGCTGACCTTGGAGGATGGAGGAGGATGGGGGAGGACGCGGATGCTGGGGCCGGGAGGCGGCTGCAGGGAGGGCGGGGGGCAGAGCTGCGACCCGCGGGGCCCGGCTGCGCGAGCTGCAGGCGCCGTCATTTTGGGGGGGAGGTCAGCACAGTGTTTGGGGAAAACTCCTTGAATCTTGTTGTCAGAATTTTTTAAATGGAGAGATCACAAAAAACTGAAAATTTTTACAGAAATTATGTATATATATACACATATGTATATTTCTACATATCTAAAACATTTCTTTAGGTATGAGTATATAATATTGTGTTCTATATAATTATACTCTTGGGAGACACTCATCCTGAATTCCCATATGACAGCCATTGGCCGGAGCTGGGTGGCCTCACGCGCCCCCTGGAACGGAGCACGAACTCTCTTCCTTGGCCACAGGGAACACCCCGCCCCCCACAACCTGAAGCTAGGTGTCACTCGCCATTTGTCATCTTTTCGATAGTGTTTTCTTGTAGTGAAGTTGGGAGGAAAGCGGAAAATAGTCTTGTGCTTACATTTCTGTCACACTCAGAAAAAAACATCATGTAGATAAAGAAGGTTGGCTTTCAAGAAAAAAAAATTTTCCCACATCCTGACTGGCTTCATTCATTTATTACTTGCCTGGTGTCCACAGGCATTTCCATGTGACCTTGGTTAGAGTCAGGGATGAGCATGACAAGCTCAGGGCACATGGCAGGGTATGACTGGATAAAAGCTGAGGGTTAATGCTGGGCCTGTGTTGTTTTGCGTTGTTTAGGTAAACAAATTATGTGCTTACAAATACATGCCTTCTCTAAGTCTGCCCACCGTGTTTTGCTGCATCCAATATGCTTCTGTACATAATGCGCATCTGCAGTTCTGTGTGCATTGTACACGGGAACATGATAACCATTATTATACCCGAGTATGATGTGTACCCGTATCTTTCCCTCATACATCTGGGCAAGAAGTGCGCACTGTACACAGCAAAATACGGTACCTAGAGTTGATCTGGTTTTTCACTAAGTTTGTGAGTCCCCCCTTAAAACATCCCTGACAGATCAAGTCATGACTAAGGTGCAGACTTTTTTTAAGGCAAAGATTTCTCACAGATCCTCAACGTTCACTATAATGAATTTTGATTCTGTTCCTCAGCTATGTTCAAACATAAGCTTGTATGGAATGTCCTTTGCTTATACCTGTGATACAGCCATAAACCAAAGTGAGTGTATAAGTAAATTCAAAGTTAAAAAGGCAATTAATTCAAATGCAATTAACCTTACTTTGTGGGACAAAGGCTGCTTTGCTGAACTGAACAAGAGCTTCCTCTGTGGATATGGTGCTAATCCCTGTAGCTCAGATTCTCTCAAGTTCAGCAAGCTTGGTCATCTGTGCCCCATATGATAATTCAGCCACCACTTGTCTCTATTCTAATTATTACGGAATTATGATGCCACTTTGCCCTTCACCTGGTCCACAGCATCACTTACATGTTAAGTTTGCCTGTTTTCTTTTCACCTGTGTGGAACACAAGGAAGGTACTACACCTTGACTCCACTGTGTTCATAAACACAAAGACAAATGATAACACTGAGTTTGCCTAGTAAGGTTGGCTTATTTAAAATTTTAAGGATTATTTTCATAATAAATCACAGCAGAGAAGGAACACTCTGGAGAACTGTTAGATCCCTAAGCACATGCCTGTGAACCTCCAACGGTCCGAAGATTCCAAACGGAGAAGGATTCATCTAGTTGTTTATTGGCAACTGGATGTCAGGCACACTGACTTTCCATTACCAGCCCATAGCAGACATCGCTGATCAGTCTAGGTGCTCTTTCCTCTCTGAGCCTGTACTGGGCTTCCAGACCTTCTCTGAGTAAGCACAGCAACCCTTCAAGTGCTAGAGTTAAATCCTGTTTGCCTAGTAGGTGGGAGGGACTGGACTATGGAGAATTTTTCCTTCCAGCTTTAGGGTTCCTCCTTATCGGGAAGCACTGGGAAAATTTTGAGAAGAGAATGCAAGGAGGTGGTCCCTGGGATGGGAAGGAGAGGGAAGGAAGTGGAAGCAGGCTTGTCTGGATAGAGGCTGTTGCTTTGTTCCTTCCCGGTCAGTGCTGGAGTGCCCACTGTGGTTGACGGGCGGTGGGGGGCTGTGCCTGGGGAATGTGAAGGAAGACATGTATCTCGCTTCAAAGATCTCAGTTTGTTCCACAAATCCTTATGGAATGAGTCCCTTGTAGGTGCCAGAGGGGAGGATGGAAACTGGGGATACAGTGGTGAGCGAGCAAATCACAGTCTCCTCATGGGTTTTAAGATTTAATGGGAAAGACATTCATTTGACAAGTAAGGACACACTTTGATGAATATTACAAAGGGGAGGCAAGATGGACTCTCAGAGTGTATGGTAGGGAGTCTCGGCCTCCGCTAGCGGCCCAAAGAGTGAGTGGGAGTGGGGAAGGCATTGAGAATATATGTTTGCGTGTTGAAGGGGAGAGAATGTTCCAGGCACAGGGAACAGAGGTTCATCAAGGGGACAAAGAGGGTGATTTGAGATGAGGGGTTCACAGGGATCAGATTGTAGAGACAGGATTTGGGACTCTATCCTAGGAACTATGGGGAGTCACTGAGGGGTCGAACAAGCAGAGCTTTGCATTTTCAAAGAAGGCCTCTAGCTCCACAATGTCGGCTGGGACAGAGGAGGAGGTGGCAGAGAAACTCTTTGGAGGTTGTAGTACTCTTCCAGGGGATGTGGCAATGGCATTGAGAGGGAGGACTTGAGGATGCCCCCTGGCTTTCAGACGTGAGCCATGTCATGGTCCCCTCCACACAGAGGGAGCACTGACAGGAGCAAGGAGGGGGCAGACTCTGCAGTGTCAAGAGATGCTGACTTTGAGGTGCCACTGAGTCATGTAAGTAGAGAGGGTCCAGCAGGCAGTTGGAAAGGGGTCCTGGAGCTCGGGAGGGCAGTCTGGGCTAGTGATAGGAATGTGGGGGTCTTTGGTGTGGAGCTGCAAAAGCAGATTCAGCTGCCTGGGAAGAATGTCTAGAAAACATCTTGCAAGTTGGTAGCCTAAATTCTGATTTGGCCCTCTGACATGTTTTCAATGTGGGGCACCCAGATGGGTATTTTTCAAAAAAATTAGGGCCAACAGTGAATATTGGGATTTTACACTAAAATATGAACCCTGGCTTGTTTTGAAAAAATAAGATCTGACAACACTCACCCCATGTTTCTGCATGGAAGCAGTCACCTGGAGCTGAACAGTAGACCCATTAGATAGGGTAGTGTGTGTTCTTCAGTTTGTCACACTCCCTACCATTCCCTGTAGTGTTCCTCGCAGTGACTCCAGTCCACTTCATCTCGTTACCTTCCATACTTGGCACCGTGACCCCTGCTATGTAGACAGAGCTGCAAAGAGGGCCTGGGAGAAGCCCAAGTGGCTTCGCCATTTAAAGAAGAGGGAGAGGAGAAGGCCGGGGGGTGCCAGCAAAGAAGACTGAAGAGCCACTAGATAGAAAAGCTGGGAGGATGATTGTTAAGAGGAGGGAATGTCGACCACCCATGATCAGTGCTGCTGACTTGGTCCAACCTGATAAGGACGTGTCCTTTGGGCTACTAGTCACGTGGAGGCCGTTGGTAGCCGAGGTGCGAGCCACTGGGTTCACCGGTTGCTGGCTGGAAGGGAGGATGTAAGGCACTGAGGAACAAATGGGAGAAAATGGAGACAGGGCTGGGAACTTGTTCAAGAAGTTCGGCTCTGAAGAATGACGTGTAGTGTTGAGAAACCACAGGATAAACTCGGCACATTGACCTGGAGCATTGATTTGGCTTGAATATATGGGGAAAAACCATAATTTTTAGTCGAAAACAAACAAACTTTACCTGTGTTATGGAGTAGTGGGGTCTCTGAGAGAGGAGTAGATAAAGGAGACGAGAAAGACTAGGTTTGGGCTAAAAATTGAGCATTATTTTTTCACCAGGCACTGTACTGATGATCTCTTTACAGTCATGATCTCATGTAGTTCTCACAGTGATCCTATGAAGTAGGTTTCTAGAATGTTCTTCATTTTGCAGATGAGCAAGCTGAGGCTTCAGAATTAAGGTTGCATGGCTGGTAAGTGGTAGAGCTGGGGTTTGAATCCGGCAGTCACACCAAGTGTCTGCACATTCAGCTACTTCAGAAGCATTGTCGAAAACACTTCTCTTTCCCCATTGAATTGCTGTGACACCTTTGTCAAAAATCAATTGGCCGTGTATGTGTGCGGCCTATTTTTGGACTCTTTCTTCGGTTCCGTTGATCCATACGTCCCCTTTTCTCACAGTGGCGCCCTGCCTAGATCACTGCAGCTTTATGGTGAGTCTGGAAATGAGGTAACTTAAGTCTTCCAACCTTGCTCTTCTAACTTGCTTTGGCTATTCTAGGTTGTTTACATATCCATAAATTTTAGAATTATCTTCTCAATTTCTATAAAAAGGCCTGCTAGGATTTTGTTTGGGATTGTGTTGCCGATTAGGATACTTTTTAAAAAAAAAGGAACTAGTGAGGATTGGATCTCATTTCATATAGACGTTGGAGGAAATTCCACTAAAGTGTGTAACTAAAGTCTAGCGGTTGCTAACCTGAGTTATGGGGTAAGGCAGGTGAGGGAAACGGGTGGAGAGGTCGGGAATGAGATGTGAAGAGTAGCTGATCTCAGGCCCTAGTGGGGGGATAATAAGCTGTAATGAGGAGCTGGTCAAACAGGAGAACCTCAGTGTGGCCAAGGGGACTGTCACTCCTCAGCCCTGGGTGTTTTGCCACGTGAGAATATGGGTCCAGTGTGGTTTGAGCTCTCAATGAAGAGAAGCTAGAAATCCAAATGTTTATGGCTCTCAAACACTGAGTGGGTTAATATGGGGCTCAAACAGAACTCTCTAGGCTAAATGTAGCCTATGGCCTGTCAGTCTGTGGCCTCTGCCTCAGGCGAACTGTTCTTCGGTCCTCATTTTCGTCATCAGTAAGCGTGACAGTGTTGCAGACAGTCTTGGAGGTTCTGTTCAGTGATTCTACATCTCAAAAAAAGGAAAATATCAAAACTTCTCAAGGGTTTAGGAGGTAGGTGAAAATATTAACAATAATGATATTCTGAGAAGTCATCCAGAGCTTTCCACGTTACCTACCATTGTCCTGTCTGTTCTTTCTTTGGGAAGTAGGCAGCCAAATAATTTGCCCCATCACCTGGCACCTCCAGATTACAGAGCCAGGTCTTCTCATCCCAAATTCAGCGCTCCTTCTACTGCGGGGCAGCCATCTCTGAAAGCTCTAGAAATAGGCACTTCAGGAGGGAGAGCAGATGGGGGAGCCGAGAGGGGGCCTTCAGTTCGGCAGAAGGTAGGTCTCTAGCTACGTGTAGAGCTTAGCTCAGCTGAAGCATCGATCGACGCAGTGGGGCAAGAGCTGAAGCCTTTGCGAGAACTCTGAAGGCAGGAGCCATGGCACGTATTCATCTTCATAGGCCAGTACCTGCCATAGCACCTGACCCGCAGTTCTGAGTTCTTACTGATGGAAGATGGAAGAAGGAATCAAAGGCTTTAGATAAAGAAGGGTGAGAATTTCATCTAGAACGTTTGAAGGACACAGAGTCAAATGCTTTGGGGAAGTGGTCTGGGAACGCGAAGATCACACGTTGAGACTCGGTTCTTGCAGCTCATCCGGTAGGAGGGAAAGCTCTGTCGCCATGTCCTTCTCAGCTCTGACGCTCGGCTCTGGGTGTTGATGACCAGGGCATGTCCCAGGGGAGAATGTTCGAGGAATCAAATTCTGTGGGTCTGAGGAAAGTGTAGATTAGATGTGAGTTGGGAACATTGCTGAATCTGGAAGATGCCTGGATGGGGTATTGTATATGTTTGAAAGTTTTCATCCTAAATGCAAAAACAAAAAAAAGTCAGCTTCATAGGCTTGGCATTGCTTTTGGTCAAACAAACCTCGCTTTTCTCTGAGCTTGTAAATAGTATCATTATTGAGGGAGAAACGAAAAGAAAAAAGAAAAAATATGGAAGAAATAAGGAAGAATGTGCATTTTGAGTTAAACCGCTATAGCTTGGCTTCCTGTAGCTTGGTGACCTTGCGCCACTCTCTGAGCTCCCCGAAGTCTGGGAGTCCAGGTCTTTGAACTGGGATAATGCCGGCTCCCTCGGTGGCTGTGGTGAGGGTCAGAGGTGAGGCGGGCAACAGAGACTCGGATCTGGTAGTTTCGTTTAATAAGACAAAGAGAAGGAGTAGTGAAAGGGTAAAAGTCTGCCTTGGGGTTCCCATCCACCCTTTCTTCCCAATGTGAATTATAAGTGCCAGGGATTATATAACCACAGAGGTAATTTTATTATTTTAGAAAGAGAACTCTTGAAGACCAAATTGGACCACTTGGGGGTTTACAAGAGCTATAACCAGTTTATTGCCTTTTGAAACATGAAACAAGGAAGAACTTGCTGAAGAAAGTCACATTAAAGCCGTGGCACACCATTGCATACCTGTGGGGTTGGCCTCCTCCCGAACCCCAGTTAAAGGTTGTATCCGGTGTTGCTGAGCTTTCCGGTGAAACTGCTTTCTCACGTGTACACTGTTGAACTCTGTGGGAAAGCATTCTGGCCGTGTGTGTTAGGGGCCATTGAAAGGCCCGTACTCAGAGACTTAGTAACCACTCTTTGGAATGTGTCCTTTGGAGATCATTCAGAAGAAGAAATATTAGGTTGCCATCAAGTGCGATTGTGTCATACGGAAAAGGCTTAGGGTTGTACCTGTGTTGTGATTACAGCCACACAGTCATCACACGTTACGGGGGAGCGACTGGGAAAGAGCAGGGGAGGGGGAACAGATGTGTCGCGCCGTCGTAGACAGGGCCTTAGTTTTTCTTCAAGAAATTCTCTGTTGCTGTTGCAGGCAGTGCCTGCACGCCTACACGTACACACTCAAGAGACTCTGCAAGAGTGTCTACCGTGATGGCACACAGAACATTTGGAACATGGGTAAATTCTTTCCAAAAATAGACTAATCAAAAACCACCAGGCACCGGAAACCTGACAGCTTTAAGTAGAGAAGAAATTGAAACCGAGACTTTCACTCTTGAGCCATGTCACTACCAAACAGCCTACTTTGGTGCTTTCTCCGGGCCTTTGCTGTCCTCTCTCAAAGTCTTGCCATCTCTTTGTTTCCAGGTTCAGTTTCAGAAGCTTCAGCAGCTGCGCCTGACACAGTACCACGGCGGGTCCTTACCGAACGTGAGCCAGCTGCGGGGCAGCACGTCGGAGTTTCAGGTACCTTTGGATATTTACTTCTACAAGCTGAGTAGACTGTAAAAAGATAGGCAGAGATTATCCTTAAAAAGATTAGATCTTGGAGGACAAACTTGGCCTAGATACACTTCAGTGTTCTGGGCACGCTGTCCTTGTTCTCTTTCCTCCTTTCTACAGCACAGGGTAGTGTGATTCCAATGTCCAGTAGGGATATAATGTGAACCACACGGGTATTGTAATTGAAGCCACATTGAAGAAGACATTTTATTTTAATAACTTAAATAATTATTTAACTCACTATATGCAAAATATTATCATTTCAACATATTATCAATATAAAAAAAGAGTAATGAAATAGTACACATTCTTTATTTTTTGTATTGAGTGTTTGAAATCTGGTGTGCATTTTACATGGAGACACATCTCAGTCTGGACTGGCCACACTTCCCTGCCTCCTGTGTCCTGTGTCTGCCACACGGCAGAGTGTGGACGTAAGGCGCAGGCTGCCGTCTCCATTGTCACCCGTGCTTTCATCATGTTGCACCTGTCACTTTCCTGGGGCTGCTCTGACATGGTACTGTAAGCTGGGTGGTTCGAAACAACAGACATGTATTCTCTTCTGGTTCTGAGGCTGGAAGTCTGAAATCAAAGTGTCTGCCCGCTGCGCTCTCCAAAGATTCTAGGGGAGAGTCTTCTTCTAGCTTCTGTTGGTTGCCACCAGTCCCTGGCATCCCTCATCTGCCTCCATCACACACGACCTTCTTTATGTTTGTCTCTGTGTTCGCATCTCCCTCTCCCTTCTCTTATAAAGACACCAGTCATTGGGTTCAGGGCCCACTCTCGTGCAGTTTGGCCTCATTTTAACTTGATCAGATCTGCAAAGATCCTCTTCCCCAGATTCTCAAGGTCACCTTCACGGGTCTCGGCACTAGGACTTCAACACGTCTTTGTTAGGGAACATAATGCAACCCACTACATTGCATTTATCGGTAGTTTTATTTCTTTTTTATTGCTGAGTAGTGTTCCATTGCACAGAGGTGCTGCAGTTTGTTTAGCTATTCACCAGTTGGCGGGCACTTGGATTGTTTCCATCTTTTGGCAGTTGTGAGTAAAGATATTGTAGATGTTCACACACAGTTTTTGTGTAAACATCTAGTAGTGGAACTACTGGGTAAGTGTGTATTTTATTTCATAAGAAACTGCCGTGCTGTGTCACTGGTTCTCCTGTTTCGCATTCCCACCAACGGCATGAGAGACTGCCACCAGCCTGCCTGCTACCTCCTCCAGCACTTGTTTTTCAGGTGTTTTTAAATTGCGGTAAAGAACACAACATAACAGTTACCGTCTTAACCATTTTAAAGTATAAGTTCAAGAGTGTTAAGTATATTCACATTGTAGTGCAACCAACCACCGGAACTTTTTCCTCTTACAGAAATGAAACTCTGTACCCGTTAAATGGACCTCTGTATTGCATTCCCGTTCCCCAGCCCCAGGCCGCCTGCCACCCTTCTACTTCCTGTCTCTGTGAATTCGCCCACCCCAGGGACCTCATAGGAGTGACATCCTGCAGTACTTGTCTTTTTTTCATTGGCTATTTCACTTAGCATAATGTCCTCAAGGCTCCTCTGTATTGTGGCAGGTGACGGGATTTCCTTCCTTTTTAAGGCTAAATAATATTCCACTTTTTGTATAAACCATACTTTGTTTATCTGTTCATCCATCGATGGACGTGTGGGTTGCTCCCGCCTCTTGGTCATGGTGAAGGACGCTGCTGTGCGTACGTGCGTGCGGCTGTGTCTTCCAGACACGACTTCAACTCCTGTGGGCACATACCCAGAGTGGGATCTCGGGGTTCGATCGTGATTCTAGTTTTAATTTTCTGAGGAGCCCCAAGACTGTTCTCTACAATTTCGATACCATTTTACATTCTCACCAACACTGTGCAAGAGTTCTCATTTCTCCACATCATCACTAACCCTCGAGATATTCTGGGATTTTTTTTTTTAATTAGTCATCATAGTGGGTTTGAGATGATAGTATTTCATTTTTTTTAGATGTTGACCTTTCTACTGCATGTGTGGTGCTATCTCATTGTGGTTTTAATTTGCATTTTCTTAATGACTGATAGCGCTGAACACCTTTCTATGTGCTCGTTTGCCATGCTCGTGTCTTTGAAGTGTTTCTTCAAATCTTTTGCCCAGTTTTCAAGTTGAATTATTTTCTTGTTATTGAGTTGTTAGAGTACATTATATATTTTAGATACCAATTCTTTATCTGATGTGTTTTGAAAATATTTTCTTCCTGTCGGTGGCTTGTCTTTTCATTTTCTTTTTTAAGATTTTGTTTGTTTATTTATTTATTTTTCGAGAGAGGGGGAGGGAAGGGGGAAAGAGAGGGAGGGCAAGTCTGATGTGTGAGAGAAACATCAGTTGCCTCTCACACACCCCCAACTGGGGATCCAGCCTGCAACCCAGGCATGTGCCCTGACCAGGAATCAAATTTGAGCGACCTTTTGGATCGCAGGCCGACACTCAGTCCACTGAGCCACACCAGCCAGGGCATCTTTTCATTTTCTTAACAAAAGTCTTGAAGAGCAGATGTTTTAAATTTCAATGAAGTCTCGCTTATCATTTTGTTCTTTTATGATTTGTGCCTTTTGTGCCTTTTCTAAGAATCCTGTGCTTCACTCAGGATCTACAAGTTTTTCCCTCTCTGTGTTCATCTGGAAGTTGTATAGTTTTAGGTTTTATACTGAAATTTCAAGGTTGTTTTTTTTAATGAAGTACAGAGTACAAGTTGAGGATCACCCTTTTTTTTAAAAGATTTTATTTATTTATCTTTAGAGGGGAAGGGAAGGAGAGAAGGAGAGAAATATCAATGTATGGTTCGTCCCCTGCTGGGAACTGGCCCGCAACCCAGGCACGTGCCCTGACTGGGAATTGAACTGTGATCCCTTAGTTCACAGGCCCGCCCTCAATCCACTGAGCTATACCAGCCAGGGCACCCTTTCTGCATTTGGATGTGGACTCGTGCCAGCACCACTGTTGAGAAGACCTTTCCCTGTTGAATTGCCCAGGTTATTCTGTTGAAAATTGCTGGGCCGTACCTGTGGGTGGCCCCATCCCGACCGTGTCTTCTGTTCTAGTCTCTGCATCTCTCCATCGCTTACCTTTCCAGGGAGGCTGGGAATCAGGCAGCGGGAGACCTCCAACTTCATTCCTTTTCAAAGTGGTCTTGCTTTTGTTTGTTCCTTTGCTTATCCATGGAATTTTAGAGCCAGCTTGTTGATTTCTACAAAACAGCTGCTGGGATTTTAAATGGGTTGCACTGAATCTGTGGAACAGGTTGGGGGGAACTGATAACTTCCTAATGCTGAGCCTTCTGATCCATGAACGTGGTGCAGAAGCACAGGTTTTGATTCAGTTAAGTTGCTTGTAATTATTTAGTTAAACACAGTCCCCTTCCTTTTGTGTTTTAGATCACTTTGGAGTTTACAGAATGCTTTCACGTCTGTTATTTGACTTGATCTGTGCCATAACTTTAGTTGCTGAGCATAGTACTGTTTTAATATTGGTTAAAGACCAATTTCCTATCCTCATGGAGGATGTAAAAGCACATTCTTCTCTCATAACGCACTGGGCCCCATCAGAGAACACAGACTTATCAATAGTAAACCAAAGCAAGCCTTGCAGGCTTCCTTGTGATGACCCTTAGCAAGGGGCCAGTGATCAGTCAGGGAGGGCCTGGCCTGTGGACATCAAGGACAAGAGGAGGAAGTGAGCATCACCTTCTCTGGGGGCTAGGGCTGCCTCTTCTGGGTGGGGGTGGGTAACCGTGCTCTGGCCTGTTCCAGACTGCGGAACGGCTGGGGCACCGCTGGCTGTGTGGCGTGGAGGCCCGCTACAGAGAGAGGGGCAGAGGGCTTCCCTCTGTCTGGAGCGGTCTGGGCGTGGCCATAGCCTTCCGCAGCCTCCACGTTACCCACCCAGTCCTTTCCCGTTACACCACTGAAAACGAACCCCACTTTATCCATTTCTGACTATTACCTTTTAACCAGATTGCATCATTTTGTGTATAACTGAGCATTTATGAGCTTTAACTCATGTAGGGAACAATCTGGTGCCAAAGGGAGAAAGCCCTGCTGTGCGGCAGTGAGGCCGGCAGGGCCAGGCCCAGAGCAGTGGCTTCCAGGGCCCGCCACCAACAAGCGGGGGTGTGTGGGGGCCCAAGTCCATGTGGCAAGAGCATGAGAGAACCAGCATGCATCCATCAGTGCTGATGGCTTTTCTCTGCTGCCTTTTCTTTTAAAATGTTAAGATACTTTAAAAAAATAAATGGCAAAAGATACATCAGTTAGAGTCAAACAAATGGAAAACATAGGCAGCGGTAGCAATCTCAGAACACCACCCGCACTAACAGCCAACGTTCAGAGGCCTGCGTTCGTGCCAGGAGCTGCATTCAGCTCTCTACACAGATTACTTAATCCTCACAAAAACCCTCAGGTGGGCTTACGTATTAGGTGATGGTCACAGCATTACTGGACTTTCACGTGATGAAATAACACAGCAACAAATTACAAAAAGCCAACACCAGTGAAGTATTCTAAACAAAGATAAGGGAGAGTGAGATGATGAGCAAATGAGAGCCACTATGTACAAAAATTTGTTCTCTGTAATTTATTCTCTAACCAGGCAAGATAGCTCGCCATTGCTCCCGTCATCCCCAGGCGGCTTCTTGGCAGGAAATCCAGTGGTGGCCGAGTAATGGCATGCCAGCTGATGAGAGCTGCTTCTTAGAATTCAGGCACGTCACAAGTAGCGTATAGACACCACCACGCATAACCCGCACGCCTGCGTGCTCTGCAGTCGAAGCTCGCTGCTCCCCGCGGGGCAATGGACTGGGAGGGGTTTGCATTCTCCTCCCTCCCTCCTCCCGAGGGAGGGGTTACCTATGCTTCTTTTTCACCTCTCATTAATTAGTAGATAGATAATAAATCCAGCAAATGTTTCTTGAGCACCTGT